CGTTATGTAATGCCAGTCGGCTATTTTGCCGAATTCCGTCAAGAACCACTGTTTTGGAGTTCTTTGCCCTTGAAAATGATGCCAGGAGTAAGGACACGGCCGTCCGCGGTGATAGCTTCAATAAATGAGGTCCAGTTGCGGGACTGTGGCCCTTTCAGAAGGGCCTTCCGTTTTGGGTCTGCACTCCCAACCACAAGACTATCCAAACCTGGCAAAAAGAGTCTGGTTAGTAAAAGTAATGAAAGACAAGCCAAATACTCACCAAAGCCAGACATAATACCGCCTTCGTCAACATTCACGGTATTTTCTGGTTTAATCCATCCATACTCCTTTTCCTGATATCGAAGAACCAGTGAACCGCACGAGGCGTAAAAGCATTAAATCGGTTAGCTTCCTGACGTCTCCCACGCTTGTTCTTGATGTCCGGATGGCGATTGATGAATTTAGAGACCCAGTTGCGCCCCACTGTCCGCTCGTTGTTCAGTTGCTTCATAAGAGCCTCCACACATGCGTGGATCTGACTGTGGGAGGGAGCATAGCCGAGAGACTCTTGGCGGAGGATCCAAGAAACCAAGCGAGCTTCCTGAGACTTACTCAAGAGTTGACGAGGCTGGATCTGATCAGCCAGGGCTACCTGGCCTTTGAGTCTGTCGGAAATAGACTGCTGAGGTATGTCATACTTTTGGGCGGCGCGGTACTGCGACAAGCCGTTTTTTGTGACATCAATTATCGCATTAGCCATAATATCCTCCGTATAAATACTCCGAGGCCGCTTTAAGGTCATTTTGGTCATGTGGTGGAGGAATAACGAGAAGAATCATCGTCAGGAGGCGGAAGGAGATTAGGGGGTTGGATGGTAATTTCGCGTGCAAGGTTCGCACAGGCCACAGACCCCCGTCCAAACATTCAACCATCGAAAAGTAGAATTCAATCAATCCTCTATCTACTCCAAGTGACGGCTTGTGAATATCTTCAAAGCTGGCTGGAATCGGTGTAAGTGAAATTGATGGGTTTTGGTGGGGATATTTCCTAATGCGCTACCGAAAGGTGGGTGTTACCGAAAGGGGGGTGGGGCATGGTAATGCGTAGGCAGGCAACAAGTCTTTCATTTGTGTATAAAGAGCTGCACAATTCCCTGCAGCTCATTCACTCACCTCTTGTTCTTTAGATAATTCTCATCAATTGACTGATGCCATTCAGGTCGCTTTGCACAGCCGCTGTCGTGCCAGGTGTGGGCCGTAACTGTCTGACATGTTGCTGTTAAGCGATGCTATAAACCCTTCTGCATAACGTCACCCTGACGCCAAAGCAGCCTAGGTGGCGACATGGGCAAATCTCAAGGCATCCAAACATCGATATATGGAAAACCCTCTGTCTGTCATTGAGGATAGACGGCAATTCACATGTGGGCTCTCTTTTCATCTTCGGCCCCTACTAAAGAGCAGCCACTCTCAAGAAGAATTATCTTCATCAACTGGCTGGAAAGGGGCGTTCGCGATAGCTTGAACTCGGCGTCTTACGACATTCTTGAAAGGGCATCGTCACTAGTTCTCCTGGTGCCACTTCTCCCCGGGCAGATAGTGTAAGGATCGGAAGCACGACTAAGCAGAAAGTAAAGAACCGGAGAGTCATTGATTCTATTGTTGATCTCTGTAAAGCTCCTTTAGGGTTATGTTTCCATCGTCTTTATACTCTTGAAGTAGAACAAGCTGTTATACAATGTCATGGCCCACATCTCACGGAGGATGAGCAAGCTGACCCTAGAAGAGATTAAAGACAAAGTGATGGCAGCGGAGCTTGGAAAGCACCTGGAGAGGTGGCCTCCCGGCGATGGTGGGGAAGCGGCTCTCGCACGTAGGGAAATACAGGATGTGGAATCTCTTTGATGCGTCGCTCCAAGACACCAACGGCGGACAGCGAAGATCATCGTCCTAAAGAAACCGAGGAAAGGCGAACACGCTGGCCAAGGCCTGGCGGCCAATTTCCCCCGGCCGACTCTTGGCAAAATCCTGAGGGCGGTTGTCCCGGAAGACAACTCCTGTGCAGCGAAGACCCATAGACTCCTGCACGAAAATCACTTCGCGGCGAGAAAACGTAGGCCGGCGGAGCAGGCACTCATACTCCTGCAGGAACAGACTTGTGAAGCATGGCAAACTAGCAGGCAGCTTGGTCAGCTTTGACGTGAGGAGTGCGTACAATGGCGTATGCACAGAGTGACTACTGGGAGGATAAAAGCCAGGGGAATTCTAGAAAGATTGGCAAACTGTATGGATGCGCTCTACTAGTGGTTTACGGCCTCAGTGGGTTTGAATGGGCACCCATCCGAGGAACGAGTCTTGCCCCAGGCAGGTGTGTCCAATGGGTCATCATTGTCACCAATCGCATTCCTATTCTTCAATTCAGACTTGGTGCAAAGACGGATCAATGCAAAAGATGTTTCGATCGCATTTGTAGACAACTGCTTCGCTTCCACCTTTGCATTTCTCCATGAGATCGAGAGAGTATCCAATCGACTATTGCCGAAGCCCTCCAGTAGGAAAGACGTAGCGGCGCGACACTGGAAGCATACAAGCCACCGTCATTTACTTCACAAGAGAATTGGAACGAACCAGTGACACACCGTTTATGATACAAGAACAGCAGGATGTCAAAACGAAAAGCAGACGAAACTCCTAGGGTGGCTATGAACGCAATTCTTCAGTACAGGGCTGTCACGCGCCTAAAGTGCTTGACTCCGGTAGATGGCTGGTTGATTCCAACTACTGGCTGGAGTGACTATTCCAGAGAAAGCACGGGGCTGGGAGGCATCTCGTGGTTATAAAGTAGGGTAGCATAACCCTTGGAGGAGCTCGTCAGAGATCAACGAATTGAATTATTGGCCCAGTTCTTCACTCTCTGTTTCGTTGTGTGTGCGCCTTACAAGGGCGCACGTGGCTAGAGCGGCCGCCAGAGGGCTCACGGCCACCATGGGTATGCGTAGACTGGATATGGTTCCTCCACAGGTGGCGGGACAATTGTTAGTCGCAACGGTAGCGCCCGCCATGGATTATGCCTCTAAAATTTTGGATGCACCCGTATGGCGTGAGAAGTGGTCTGACAGGGCCAGAATTAAGTTGTTTCAAGAACGACACGGTCGAGCCGGCGAGAAAGGGACTCCGAATCCGCTCTTTCAAACCAAGAACAAGATCCACGTCTCGCGGCAGGGCACGGATAAGCCGACACCAAGTGAATTACCAGGTCTCTCGTCAGTGAGGCATAAGTCGCGGTTTGCGCTTATGCTCTGTTGGTTCTGGTGATCTCGACCTCCACTCATGACGAGGATGCCATAGAGTTTGGTACTTGCTCCTGGAAACGACCGCAGGTGCCTGCTCCAGTCTCTATGCAGAGGCCGAACGACGCACTAAGGTCAAGATAGTGTCGAAGTGTTCTTAGGTATGTTGAGGGGAAGAGGATGGAAAAAGGAAAGTGGGAGACGAGGAGTCTCTGAGCCGTTGGTGAGAAAATGACCCGGAGCCAAAACCTGCTTTACTTTACTAGGTAACGTCTTCTCATGAGACTCACACTGAAGCTATCGCACGGAGGATGAGCAAGTGAGCATAAAGATCAGGGACTGGAAGGCTCTTGTTCCTATCTAATGAGTGGGAATAATCAATCCTTAAATACATCAGTTGTAAGAGTGAGTGGAGCTGCTGCCTGCAGGCAGCAGCTCGCCTAGTGTCTACTGCCTGCCAGGCAGCAAGCAGGGAGCGCCGACCCTGCAGCGCTGAAATCTCCTGGGTGACAGAAGGGCTATTTCCAGGTACATGCGTCTTAGCACGGACAGCAGTATGGTCCTGTCCGTGGAATGCCCAGCTTCGAGGTCTCATAGACGCCATTCAACTTGCTCCGAATTCTGCTGTTGGCATTGGGCATGCGTGGCTGGCCCGCATGCATTAGCCCAGACAATAGCGTCAAAGATATCCCTATGGATGCAGATCGTATTCCCATGTTTCTTGAAATGGTTGCCACAGCTAGTAAGAACTCAAACACCCTTGTTCTCTAAGGAATACACCGGGATCCGAAGCCTACCTCCACTTCACACCAGCTTTCGAGATGGTTGCCATACTGGACAACAGATCAAAATGTTCAGGCGTTGAAAGTCACCTTACTGCGGTTCAATATGCGCTTCTACTACGCAGCCTGCGATGCAGCTAGAGCGCACCCCCGCTTCTCAGGTCGACAGGATGGTGCGGCAGTCATTGGATGAGAGCTAGAGCCGCTCGCGTGATCATGCTCCATGAGCGTTAGATGACGCTTACTTACGCTCGCCGCAGGAGACGGCACCGCCTCTTGAGGCTCTCTGCCTTTGAAGAACAACGAGTGTTTTGGGAACGAAGGGACGGAAGGGCCGTCGGACCCCTTCACCTCCTCCCCTCAGTCCCCATTCTCGATTCGTCCGTCACAATTCGTGTCTCCCCACCCTTTTGAATGTTGCGTAAGCCACTGTCGGCTAGTATAGGCACCGCTGTTAGTAGGTCACCTGAAGGATCAAGGGAGGGCCACCTGAAGGATCATTATGAGGCCATGTATCGGGACCCATAAAGACCTCACGTATGGGGCCAGTTTGGTGCCTATGTAAGTCACCTGAGGGTCCCTCTGACTACGGCATAAATAGGGCCCTGTGGCCGCTTCTTTCTAGCTAGATCATGCATCTTTATCCCTTCTTATGTTGCCCCTACCTCATGAGTACCAGAATAACAGTCCATCGACAGCCACCTTTAACTGGGCCCACAGTGGGAGCCAATGCACAGTTTATTCCGCCCGGAGGAATAACCCTAGAGGCCACGATACTAAGCTATTACAGATCCTCCATCTCATCCTTGTATTTTTACTTTCTTGGCACGCAAGTGTTAAGGAAGTAGCCCACTCACACACCTTTTCACTTAACAAGTGCTCTCGAACCATCCGAAACTGCGCCGCGCGCAAGCCGGCAGCGGCCATGGCACCAGCCTCAGGTTCGCATGCCGACTCAATGCCTTCATGAAAGGCATACAATCGCCACCAACCTAGCAACTCATGCATCGCAGCCTCGATACGGCTCTCAGGCGGAGGCTTGCCCCAATGGCTCGTTCCCTGCGGTTCAGCAGCTAGCCCAGTCAACGCCTCATAGCGAAACAATCAACGCTGCCGTCACGGAGGAACACAGCCGGAAGTGGTATCGAATGGCCCGGTCTCGACCGGTTCCTCGAAAAATGCACCAGTATCCATCATTGAAGCGGCTGAAAAGATTGCTCGCGACCAAACAGCAACCCATGACGCCAAACTGGCAGTCCTTCGGGTCTTAAGCGAAGCATTCGAACAGGCAGCCAAGCAGTTCACGTCCGACGCCAAAAACAGCATCGCCAAGCAAATTGCCACCAAGTTTTTGAACTTCTGGAACCAATCGCTCGCCGAGTTTGATGAACCACCGAAACCCACGTACAGCAGCGTCCTCGCCTCCGGCAGAAAGCCCCAAGGACAGCTGGCCGTTACGGCCCCCGCCCCACTACAGCGAAAACAACAAACCGCCACTCGCCTCCAAGGGCGACCACCCGTGACCCCACCCAAAGAGGACCTCCGTGTCTTTGTCCGACTTGACGCTGATGCTCCGGCCCGAAAACATGAAAGATACGCAATCCGGACCCACGTCGCCGCTAGAGTCGGTATCGACCTGCGCCGCGTCCCGGCGGCCTTCCCGGTAAACACGGGTTGGGCCATCCAGGCATCGGACAAGGCCACGCGCGACATGCTCGTGCAGCGACAGTCAGACTGGGCCTTAGAGTTAGGTTCCCGGGTTGTAGAAATAAGTCAAAAGTGGCATTCGTATGCCGTAGCCGGTTGTCCTCGTAGGCTCACGGACCTACGCGGTATCGAAATAAACTACGACGTGGCGGTTCGTGAAGAGATCGTCTGCCAGACAGGGCTTGAGCCCCTCAGTGGTCAGAACATATTGTTCCATTTTGTAACCCGGCGAAATATGATGACTGCCGCCTTCCCGACAGCAGACAGCTCTTCTATCAGACATTGGGTTCTAGGGCTCTTGAGTGGTATTGCTCTTGGCAGGCTGGGGAGTGTTATCCAGCATTGCTCTCCTAGGAAAGCCTCAACCTGCCAATATTCTCACCCCCATTCTCCTACTATTTGCGCTTGCAACCCTATCTACGTAGAAGAATTATAGCGCAGGTACAATGAAATATAAGAAATCCCACATCGCCCAGCGAGAGGGCATCATGTGGAACCAGCCGGGAGAGCGACTCAGAAGATGTGAGAGGGGTGTGCTGCTTCTTCTTGGGTTGGTGTTGGAACCTACGAAAGACCTCCTGGATGGGAGGGGGGCTCCATCGGGGTCTTGCCCTCACTGAAGGGGATCGAAGAGGTCCTGCTGGACTTTCCTAGTATCACTCGGTGCCGACGTTGTCGCCGCCGCTTTTAGCGCGGCTGGTCCATGTCCTACTAGGTCAAAGTTGCGGGCATCTCGAAGGTGAGGAATATGAGGATGTCGGAAATGTCGTCCGAGGGCTTGCTGCCGATGATAATGCTGAACCCGGCCCACTCACTGAAGCACTTGTCTTTGCACCAGGTGAAGGAGGCCTAGCGGTACTTGGACTAGGTGACGTATTCCTTGCGCGTCATAACCTATGTTCGCTTGTCGGCCCTGTGGAGGCGTTGGAGAGTCATGTAGCCCATCTCGTCCCCTTCTTTCTCTCCTTGTCGCGCTGGGGCCTCGACCGAGTAGTGGGACGCCATCCCGCCGATGAGGTTAGCATAGGTTTTCTTGTACTTCCTGGCGACTTCATCGATGGAGCCGCCGGGCACGACGCCATTGAGGGGTCATCGCAGACGACTATGTCAGCGTCGGCACCCTGTCATCCGAGTGTTCAACATTCTTCGCACGTCCTTCCACGAGGACCACGAGCAATCACCGGCGACACGGTCGAGGGGCAGAGGCGGAGTGGAGCTCAGTTCGTAGCAGACAAAACAACGGTCACACGAAATGCCGCCAGGACGAGCAATACGCCATTTACTTAGGTAGCGCCTCTTCAAGCCTTTGTTGTAGGGCGCTTCAAATGTTTCTCGAAAAAGCAGTAGGACAAGCAATAGCCCTTCTCGTAGTGCCCGGTCCGATGTCTACAGTTGCGATGCGCATTTCTTCCATGGAACAAGGGTGGGCAGCCAGGAACATAACACTCGTGAAACCTACGAACAAACTGCCTTTCCGAGTTTAGGTAAAAATGAATTGACGTATTATGGCCAGGATAGTGTCAAAGTATACATAGGTATAGCCGGATAGAAGAGCATGGGGAAAGGAAGGTGGGAGACGAGGGGTCTAGGAGCCGTTGCTGAGAAAATGACCAGGAGCCAAAACTTGCATCGCCAGATAACAACTTTTTGAAAGCTCACTCCTGAAGCGCTACTTCCAGGTACATGTGCTCAAACACGGACGTTAATGTGGTAAAGTCAGCGGATGATCCAGCTTCGATGCCATTTAGAGGTCTCAAGTTGCTCCAAATTCTGCTGTTGGTTCAGGATTTATGCACGGCAGGTTCACATACTGTCGCATCGAGCTGACCCTGTTTGGAAGGAGGATACTTGTTTCCTGTGTATGCAGATATCGGGGCCCCTCCTGACAGCTATTTAAGCTGGGTCAGTGGACACCCAACGCTCTTTACACTCTCTTTTGTAACAGGAACAGAGACCTCTTTTACCCCACTAGCTTTCACATACGACTTGTCCTCGTGCGTGCCTCGCAGTGAGATCCGACAGTTATGAGCCCGGTATGCGGCCAAGCGCAAATTGCTACAACAGCTACGGCTACCGCTCGTTCAACAGATAACTAATCTCGCTGCGAGGCCGATGCGTTCCAAGGCAAAACGACACCCAAGAAGACACATCTTTGCATATGACCAGTTTTCCTGCCTGCAAGTTTCGCATCTGAGGCAAGCCCCTTCTTCCTAGCGGGGATGTCCACCCGGCTTACACCACCTGTTTGGGTACCTCTATCCCCTCACATTTTCCTCCAAGAGTTCCTGTTCTTCATCATTTCCTATCAACTCTATTTATCAGTCATCCATCATGTCTGTTACCGCCAACCCAAAGCTCCTCCTTTCCAAGACCGAGGAATGGGCCAGCTGGTTCAGCACATTCAAACGCAATGCCGAGACCACTGACGTTTGGAAATTCGTCAATCCCGGTCCCTTTGCAGAAGATCAGATGGTTCCAACGCTTGAGAAGCCATCTGAGGTGACGTACGATGGAGAAGTTGCCCGATTGGCAGCTAGAGGTGATGGTCAGGAAACCATCAAGGATCTCAACGAGGCCCAGCTCAAGGTCTTCGTCATTCGACAGGGAGAGTATAAAACGAAAATGACTCAATACCTCTCCGACCGCAAGTCATATAGTGACCTCATGACTTGGGTCCATCAGACGGTTGACCTAGCTCTCATCAAGTTCCTCCCGGAAACGGCCAACCTTCGCGATATCATCATCAAACTCAAGGAGCTCGTAGGCGTTACCGAAGCCTACAAGATCGAGCTAGCTAGACTAGCATATCGCAAGGCCCTTCACACCAACCGACGCACGAGCCCGGTCGATTGGTACAATCAGTGGGAACTGGCTTATAGAGAAGGAGAGAAGCTGGAGATCTTCGAAGTTGAGGGGGATATCGCCATAGGGGATTTCTTGGAAGCAGTCAAGACTTTCGACCTGGAATGGGCGAAGAGGTATAAGGACGACCTACGCAAGGATCAACGCGCCACTGGCAAATCGTCAATGACTCTATTGGAAGTGGGCAAGCAGTTCCTTGATGCTGCCCGCGACAACGTCAGAGATAAGCCATCATCAGGGGCGTTTTCAACGACAAATCCTTCCTCTTCGTCAGAAAAGGGACATGATTGCCCATGCGGCCTCGCTAAGAATCGGCACTTTTGGGCACCAACGGACTGCACGGCTCTCCATGTTGCCGTCAATGGGATCGCCAATTCGACCCGCCCGGTTCGAGAAGACCGCATGAAGAAGGCCAAAGCCGCGATGACAGCGTCGAAGTGGAAGACTCTTATCGAGGCGGTAAAGGCAGCGAAGCCAGCCTCAGGGGGTGCAGACTCGTCGTGGCCTCCACCAATGGCCCAAATGGTCATTGATCAGTCAACCCCTGAAGGGCGGCAGCTGCTGGCCTTTTCGACTATGCCTCAAGCCCACCCACTCCGCGATTCGACGCTTCTCGATAATTGCGCCAGCACGCACGTTGTCAACAACAGAGATCTTCTCGTGGATGTCCACCCGGCCAGCGCCTCTGATGTCGTTTTAGTCGGTGATACGGCTCTCCAAGTCGTGTGCCGAGGAAAGCGCATCATGAGGAATGCCTTTAACGGCCCTGGCGGACGAAACACACGAGATTTGGTCCTCAACAACGTCGCCTTCGTGCCGGGATTCCATACTAACCTGATCAGCGGCAACGAGCTTCGGGCCCTTGGCTATTGGTCGTGCACCCTCGACGACACGCTGCGCTTTGGGACGATGGCCAGCAACAAGATCATGATGAATATGTCCAGCAAGTACGGTCTTACCGTAGCTGAATACAAGCCTCTTTCATCTTGCTTCTCTCTCCCAAGTGCTCCAGCGTGTGTGTTTTCATCAATTCGAGACGTTAATGCCGACCAACCAAGGCGCCGGCCCTCAAGGGATCCACAACAACCAAGGCTTGCAACGGCAGCTTTGTGGCATCTCAGGGCCGGGCATGCAAACCCGAAGGTCCTTGATCAGATGGTTCCACAAGTCAACGGAGTCCGAATCCAAGGTCCAACAACGGTTCAGTGCATTGGGTGCGCAACGGGTAAAGCGCACACAGTGATCTCCCGCAGAGAGTCGCCCAACCGGTCAAAACAGCCATTCCACCGGGTGTTTTTAGACGTGTTCACCTTCTCTGCGGCTTACAACGGTCATCGCTATGTTCTCCTTGTCACGGATGAATATAGCGGAATGATGTTCTCATGGACGATGGCGTCAAAAACCGAGTGCTTCCACATCATTCGGAACTTCGAGTCATCAATCAAGCGTCACTGTGGAGTTGTGATCTGCAAGATCAGGATGGATAACGAGAGAGCGCTGGTTAACTTACCGGAACAGTGCGACTCGGAATTCCAGTCCTGGGCAAAGGAAGAAGGTATCGAGATCGAGCTGCCGCCCTCCCACACAAAGGAGCCCACAGGGGGAGCAGAGAGACCAGGCGGCATAAACCAACAACGCCTGAGATCAATGCTTGGCGAGCTTCCTCGTAACCTTTGGCCTGAAGCCTATCAGACCGCAGTCAAACTTCACAACATCCTTCCAAGCCGCAGAAATCAATGGAAAACCCCTCAGGAATCATGTGATCAATGGTTCAACAGGCATCTCCGCTGGTTTGGCAAGGTAGGGACAGATATTAACTATGAGAAAGATTTACGACCAGAGTGGAGAGGCAAGTACGCTTTCGGATGTCGAGCGTATCCTCTGATCAACGACTACAAGGCAGGCATTTCCAAAAACGCCTTCAAAGTCAACCCCAGAGCACATGTAGGATATTTGGTTGGCTATCACAGCAGCAATATCTACCGCATCTGGGTTCCCAAGCTTCGGCGGGTAATTCTGTCAAGAGATGTTACGTTCAATGAATATCAATTCTTCGACCCTGCAACAGAGGACCAGCAAATCGCGATACCGGAGTTCAAGCCGACCGTTGAGGCTATTGAACTGCCTATCCAACGAGACTGGAACGCGATATTGGACGATTTCCTGCAGGAATTCGATGAACAAATCCTTGAAGTTAACCCCGTCGGTTCGATCTCGGGGGTGGAGGGCCAGAGCACCGCATATACCACGAGATTAGCTATCTCGATGGACGATCAGATGCTTCGTGCAGAGCCAGAACCTGCCCCAAGAAGAGATCTCACGCCGGAGGAACTAGACACGTCGACTACCGCAGAACCTCTGAGAGTTGCAAACTTGGGGGCAGATAGCGGCTCACGTGGTCCCCCTCCATTTTTTGCAGACGAGGGACTAGATGTGCCGACTACCGCAGAACCTGAGGACGCTGCACAACCTCAGGCAGATAGCGGCTCGACCAATCCCCCTCCTTTCCCTATTCCAGAGGGACTTTCCGCCGAGGACTAGACACACGGACTACCACAGAACCTTTGGACGCTGCACAACCAAAGGAAGATAGTGGCTCGCGTGGTCCCCTCCATTCACGCCCGAAGCAACACCTAGGCGACCTGGACGAGATTTATCGATGTCGCAGGGGTTAGGCTTCGAGGCACCATCTAACGAGGGTTCAGACGGTGTAGGATCATCTGATCACATGTCTGACAGTCCTGTTAGAACGCCTTCTTCGCTTCCAACTTCTTCGCCACACGTGGAGCTTGGCACACCCGACCTGTCAGATGAGGCCACATCTGAAGGGAGTACAGGGGCGGCCCAACTGCCAGCAACGGCAAGACAGGAAGGAATAGCAACCTCGGTCTCGCCTCCGCAATGCTCCTCGTTATAGCAGCTGCCGCTGGCCCGACGTTAGACCCGCCCTCGTCCGGTGGAGCTATGTGTCCGGCCGCGTCCCCGATCCTTTGGGCCGGATGGGTTGGGGCGAGTGCTTGCTTACGCCCTTCAGCCGAAATCTTGTTAAACGTGATGCTTGCCCTCCCTCTGAAGTGGCACCATCGACGTGCGGCAGCTTTTTTCCCAGCTGACCGCCTCGCCGACTTCGCTGAGGCAACAATCTTTTGAGTGCTTCTGCTTCTTCCCCTCGTGAGTCCCCCTCGGACGCCGGCGCCTTCTTCGCCTCGATAGGCCGCAACCTAGGTGCCGCGCCCGCTTGACTTTCGTCGCCCGACCCCCGATTCGGCCCTGTGTCCGTTGCGATCATCCTCGCCTCCGCAATGATCCTCGTTGCAGCAGCGGCAGCTCCTACTGTCTCCGGTTCACCCTCTCCTACCACCGACCTAACGTCGCCCCTAGGATTCTCCCCCAAACTTATATTTCCCTTACGGTAAGGGTCTGCGAACAGGCGAGAAATTACGAAGCCTTCGCCTGAGGTGTGATCCAAGGCCACCCCGCTTGCAAGCGATGGCAAACTTATAGTCTCGATAACATGCGGGCAACACGGCAGTACCTGGTCCGGGAGGCCCCCTCCCCATCTATTCCCCCTTCTCCCCATCCTTCCCTACCTTACCGCCATGTGTCTATCCCTACGGACGGCCTTGACCGGCCCTAGCCCAGGCAATGATGCTGCAGCTCTATCTAGCGCGGCCTTCTCCTGGTCGACTCTCCTTGGCAGCTCCCTATTTGACCGTTGCCAAAGGGCGTCCAATCGGGCATTATACTAAGACATTCTCCTTGGTATCTCTTACCATCCCCGCCGCGCCGAAACCAGGAATCGCCCTGCCATCCGGCTCCGCTCGCCTAGCACGGTGTCGAGAAGAAGGTCCGAACGAGTTGAGGTCTCTAGGTCTCTCTAGGTAATACAGCTTGAAACCAGGTAAGAAGGGAAGTCTGCAGACTGTTGTTTCTTCTTCCTAGACCACTGAGGGGTCCGGAGGATCTCCTATTCGAACGGGGACCCTTTGAGGAGTCCGGCATAACTATTACTGGCTCGGGGACCTCGAGAGACTGAACTATCGATTTCATAGCTAGAAGAGCTATTCGATCGGGGAGATGGAGCTGATGTTGCTGACGTAGATGACTTACGTGGCCTTCAGTAAGTGGCAAGAAGTGCCCTCTTCCTGATAGAATGTATACTATACCTGAAAACGGGATATCAACTTGGGAGAAGCTTGGAGGGATATAAAAGGGGCTGCTTGAACGGGAGAGATAGAAAAAAACATCTGATCGGGTGATACTCGACCTTCAAAAAGTCCCTTTATCCACGTTTATGCCCGCTTTTGCTCTCTCCTTCGCGAGTTATGAGCCCGGGCGGAGGTTACCCTCGGGAACTTCCCGGTGACTGCGCACGCACTTCTTCTGGCTAGCCTGGCGCGCACTACCCGAAAGGCCCGTGGTTCGAGTCCCGCCAGCGCAATTGAGCGCGGTTTCAGCATGGGGCCTGCCTATATAAAAATTCCCGCTGTGGTCTAGGATATCCAGGTATCCCGGGACGAATTGACCCGATATCCCTGAGGGGGTGTGTCGCGTACTCTATATGCGTTAATTGACGCTGTCGCTTGTATCTGACAGGCGGCCACATCTTTTTCGTGACACACGGTGGTTTTTAGGTCCGTCTTGCCCGACCTTCCTGTCAACCCTAACTGCGACCTTCCTTATAGCCGCTCTCCGTGCGCTTGTTTATATTATATGATGTTCGGTCGACTTCTTCTACCCCAACTGAAGACGGCGTGCTAGTCATCATACGGCAAGGCGAGGAAGGCCGGGACTCGGTTCCGTGTGTCGACCTGGCTTGCTTTATCCTCCTATATTTCGGCCTTCCAACACGCCCCTTGTGTATGTCCTTCCGCAATAATGCCCCCCTTTATGCATTGGGCCTCTATTCTCCCGGACCTTCCGGGCTTCCTCTAGACCTATCGGCAGACGAGTCTGCCGACAGCCCTGCCGGACTCTTAAGTCCGCGTCACCCTTGGTGCCTGACTGGAGCCCAGCTTCGCGACACCACTGCGTATCCCTTCGACATCTAGGCAAACACTTGCCGTGGCAAAACTCCTCACATTTCCCGGCCAATCTATATCACCCTTGGTTTTTTCTACGTACGTTTACGCTCGATCTCCTCCTTACTCCGCTCTTAACGCCAGGCAGCGGTCGTTCTAGGGGGCGCGACGGGTCTATCGACCGGCCCAGGTGCACAATGTCTTCCTCTCTACATCCTACCGACCTGCCCGCACCGCACCTCCGAAAGCCGCTCGATAGCCAAACCGGCGCTGGCGGTGATATGTCCGTGATGCTTTTCGTCCAAACCGACTGCCCCGCCAGGTTTGCCCACCTGGACGAACACCGCATCAAGGGACTTAACGCCGAAGCCATGGCCCGCGTCTTGCTGCCTCCGCCCGCGTGGCTGCTCACAGCGGAATATGCGCCCTGCGGTCGGGTGCCGACAGTTCCCCAACCTTCGTCTTCTTTAGCCTTAACCTCTCGATTTACGGTCAGTCGATTCTTGACACCGACTGGACCGAGCAGTGGTTCTTCATGAACGGCCGCGTCCACCCTACGCCCTTGCGTGGAGGTCGAACAGCGCGACGGCCTGGAGTCTGACACGGGCGGCACCGTTCTCTATACCATGCCCGCCCTCGTCGTCCGCGACCAGGGCTACCAGCCGTAGGCCGGGTCCCATTCCCCCGCGCGTGGCAGCGAGGAAATGGGTAGCTAAATCTGTCCTAAAGCGTTCTTCCTAGGCTCTTTGCCTCTATGGACGACTTCCCCCACGTCCCGCCTGTTGTTTCCTTCACCGGCCTCGTCGTCGGCACCGGCCACTCCCTGCTGCTGCCAGGCCTAGACACCGCCCAACTTAGATGTTGCGGCTTCGTCCACCTATCTACCTACGTCGCCCCGGGGAACCCCGATAAGATCCCCTTTAAGGGCTTCCACCCCTTCCAGGCCTTCGTCATCTTCCCTATTCACGCCAACCCCTGGGCCGTCCTATGTAAGAAGATGGCCGAGAGGCGAAACTCTTACTTTCAGCCTAATGTCCCCTTTACCTGCACAGGCAAGGTCGCTGGCCTGCTGGACCACAGCGTCATGGTTCACCCGCCGGGCTCTGACCGTGACTTTGTTTTTATAGTCGTCCCGGATTCCTGGACTTTTCTCGACAAGTCGTCCACCTCTATGGCTGCGATGACACCGCTACCCTCTACGCCACCAAAACGACAACAGTCCTCCGCTTCTGCCGCTTTTCATAATATGCGCGCTGCCTCTATGTCCGTGGTTATTCCTAGCACTCTCCCAATTAGTCCTCCGTCTTTAGCTTCGGCTGCGCCTTCGACTTGCTCCCCCACGCCGCCCCAAAAGCGCCATTATCCTGAACCTGCCGATACGCCGACGAAGCGACCGTGCCTGACGCAACAGGCCTCTGGGTCTTCTTCTTCCCCTATCCCTGGCCCCTTGGCTACTCAACCCTTCTCGGTCTCGGCTGTCTCCTCCATTCCCGACCCGGATGTATCATCTAAACAGGGTCCCGCCTCGGGAAACCCGCCCCTTGATTCGATTGTCGCCCACCCCGTAGCCTCGTCGGCCCGCCCGCCTCGAAACCGTCACCCAGCTAAGAGAACGATAGATATAGAATAACAAGGCAAGTTTACTGTCGGCTGGGATTTCTTGAACAGCTCATGTTAGTTGACCTTTATTTTATCTACTCTTATATTACTTGATAGAGGCCTTGACCTGGCACATTATGTCGTGAATCGTCACTTACATCTACCAAACTAAACCTCGTCCCTTCCTATATCGTCCTAACTTCCTATCACCCCGCCCAACTTTGAGTCCATTCTGCCTCCCCCTTTCCTACCTTGAGTCTTCCTAACTTTCCAACCTTAACTTAAAGTCTTTTTCTTTCTTTCTTAACTTCCCCCTCTTAACTAATCTTAAATCTTCCTAGCTTCCCTTTCTGAGCTTGGATCTTTTTTAGCTTGAGTCTTTCCAAACCTCCCCTCAGTGTGGTTTTTGTTGACTTGATATGAGACATGGACCAAGACATGTTTAGGCAGCAGTTACAAGTGGTGAGTCACTGGATAGTGTAACGGTCTCAACTGAGTGTGTTGACAACTAGCTGAGCGACTGCGACGAGTATCCTAAAGCTAAGGAGAAAAGAAGAAGAAAAGAAAAGAAAGGAAAGCTCTCGAAGATGGCACGAGCTTATAAGCGGAGCTCCGGTGGGTCTTGTCGAGAGCGGAGCCGAGACCCTCACGGGCTCAGCCCGTTACAATAACCCCTCCTTCCCTCCCCGTTTCGATCGTTTCGATTGGGGTGGTTTCGATCCAACTTTCCCATGAACTTCTTCATACCTAGCCAGTGCTATTGTGTCTGCGACGTACTTGACTGGCTCCCACGTCGGACCTATCCATCCGACCCATTTCACCAACACTTTCCACTCTCTCCCGACTTTCTTCCTGTCCAGAATCTCTTCCACTTCCCACAGCTCGCCATCGTCCGTCAAAATGGCCGGTGGGCGGTAGTCATCCGACGTCTGTGACGGTAGCGGATCGTCCGCTGCTAAGCGTAAGAGCGACACGTGGAACACGTTGTGTATTCCCGGAGGCGTGTCCAGCCTGCACGCGTGTGACCCAATGGTCTCCAGGACGGTGTACTTGGCCGACAGCCAATCGAGCTTCTTGGATGGCCGATTGGATCGGATGTTGCGAAGTCGCAGCCATACCTTGTCTCCAGGCTTGAACTGGTCTGACGGCTGTCTTCGCGAATTGGCGTTCTTCTCTTGCTGCTCTTGCGCTGACGCAATTGCCGCCTGGGCCCATTCCGTTGCCTCTCGAAATCGTTGCACAATGCTTTCAGCCCTGGTCACTGGGGACCTTCCGTCCGTCCGTAACTTCTCCTTGACTTGTATCGGGTCAACATGATACCCATGCGTGATAAAGAACGGGCTCAGGCCTGTCGACGTCGAGTTGTGATTGTTGATGGCCATCATGGCCGCTGGCAACAGCTCTTCCCAGTTATCCTGAGCATAAGCAGCAAAGATCCTCAGATATCTCTCGACTTCCTGATTCGCCCTTTCTGTTGCACCGTCAGTCTCGGGATGCCACGCCGTAGACAATCTTTGCTTCACGCGTAGCAGCTCGCAGAGCCTCTGCCATAGTCTACTGGTGAATTGCGTGCCACGGTCAGTGACGATCGCGCGCGGCACGCCATGGTGTTGCACCACGTTCCGTAGCAATGCTCTGGCCGTCGTCTCGGCCGTGATGTCCTTCAATGACTCAAGAACGACACTTTTGGACAGTCTGTCCGTCACGACCATAAGGTTGGTCGAACCGTTCGACTTGGTTGGTGGCAGGTCTGTCACAAAGTCAATTGACAGCTCCGACCAGATCCTGTCTGGAATAGGTAGCGGCTTCAATAAACCGCGACGCTTCTCTCGCCAAATGTTGCTTCGGCCACACATCACAATTTCTCACAAATTGACGCACGTCTGAATCGAGGCCTGGCCAATAAAACTTGCGGCTCAACAAGGACTTCAGCATGTCCCGTCCGGGGTGTCCTGCAAGCGTTGAGTCATGCGTCTCCTGCATAAGCCGCGTGCGCAGGGGTTCGTGGTTCGGCACCCAAATTCGCTCTCGCCAGCAGAGCCGCTGTCCATCGTCAATCGAGCATTCCGAGAGCATCACGGGCAGTCCCCAATGCGACGGCAGACGCCTCTCGCCTTGCTGTACGGCCTTTCGGATGAGCCAATAACGATTGTGCTTCTTGACACCTTCGTCCCATAACTTCTGCAGTTCCGGGTCCGAGAAAGGGTTTTCGATTGAGTCGTCTTGGTCAGTTGTTGCGTCATCGGGTTGATCCGTGTCGCCCTTGGTGACATAACCGCTCTTGACTTTTGTCACCAGGCCACCCTTGTTACGTTGCAGCAGCTGAACACGTCGTCCTTGCAACCGATCATCTTCGGCGCTGTGCGGCATGTCCTGTTCTCGTCGAGACAGCGTGTCCGGTACGACGGCTTCTTTGCCCGGTCGATGCTTGATGGTGAAGCTGTACCGCGATAGCGTCTCAGCCCATCGCGCCTGACGTTCACTCAGTTGCTGCTTCTTGGTGAAGTAACGGAGGTTGAGATGATCCGTCAAAACGGTAAAGGACTTCACACTCCTCAATTCGGCGTCCCAATGCTCAAGGCAGCGAATGATCGCCAGCAGCTCTTTATCGTGGATTGGGTAGTTGCACTCCGCCGGTGCGTTTTCTTTGAGAAGAAGGCCACAGGCCGCATGATGCCGTCATCGCCCTTTGCGAGCGCCCTCCTGTGACATAACCGGATGAATCCGTCTCCACAATCGTCTCTCTATCCGGATCCCATTGCGCAAGGACCGGCGCACTGGTCAGAAGAGCCTTCAACTCCTCGAAGGCCTTGTCGCACTCCTTCGACCACGCAAACACCGCATCCTTCTTTGTTAACGCCGTTAGAGGCGCGGCGATGTTGGAGAATCTGGGAATGAATTGCCGGTAATAGTTGGCAAACCCCAGAAAGCTTCTGACGCCTTTGACAGAACGGGGTCGCTGCCACTGCTGAATTGCCTGCACCTTCTCCGGGTCCACGCGGATACCTTTCCCGGCTTCGACGATGAAGCCCAGGTACTTGACACTCTTTGCCTCAAAGTCACACTTGTCGATATCAATCTGCAGGCCTGCATCTCGCAGTCGAGCAAGGACCTGCCTGACTTTGTTGCGATGATCTGCGAGCGAACCGCTCGAGTAGATCAAGATGTCGTCAATGTAAGCGGAACAGAACTCGTCGAGGAAATCTCGCAACGTGTGGTTTATGTAACGCTGAAACGTTGCGGAGCACCCGTCAACCCGAATGGCGTGACAAGCCATTCGTAGAGTCCGTAACGTGTTCTGAATGCTGTCTTCCACTCGTCTCCCTCCTCGACGCGAATCTTGTGAAATGCTGCGATAACGTCAAGTTTGGTGAGCCACTTGGCCTTGGACAGCGACCGCAAAGTTTCCTCGATCAACGGCAAGGGATATCGGTCTTTCTTGGTGATCGCATTCAATCCTCGATAGTCCACGCAAAAGCGCAGACCACCACCGGGCTTCCTCACGAACAAAACTGGTGCTGACGCTGGAGAACTACTTGCTCGAATGAAACCCTTGTCGAGTAGCTCAGTGAGAGTCTTTCGCAGAACAATGAGCTCTTCTCGTGACATGCCGTACAATGGTCCCCACGGCGGTTCTTTCTCCTTGTCATCAGGACCTCTCTAACTGAATCTTGTGATCACACCCGGACGACGCGGTGGGAGTTGGTCCGCTTGGTCGCGGTCGAAGACGGATAGGTACTCGTGGTAGTGACGGGCAGCTTCTCTCGGGTCTGACTTCTTCCTCGGAGTCAATGCCTTCTCAATGTCTTTCAGGCTTGCGGCGAAGATCCGCACTCCATCGTCTCGATGCTTGAACTTTCTTGCTCGGCGAACCATTCCGGCGAACACGAACGCCGCCTGTCCTCGTATGTTGCACCGTTCCTCCTCCTTCGGGTCTCGGCCTTTCACCCAATGGTCGTGCGTCCCGATATGCAAGAGGTTCTGCGATAATCGCAAGGTGACATCCTCCTGGTTCAACCACTTCTTGCCCAGAATCACAGGATCGGTCTGGTCTCGCACAACGTAGAAAAAAGCTCTTTTCTTCTGGTACCCGTCGATATCGAAGTCGAAGTAGGTCACGGCACAGATGGCCTCGGGTGAGAATGTGTTGACCTGCTCCAACGCTCGAGGTTTAATCGGAATACGCGGCAGGTGAAGCTTGCGGGCAAGGCGCTCACTGATGGTCCCATAACACAGGCAACCACAGTCAACGAAGGCCGTGGTGAAATACTCTCGATTGATACCGAAATTTACGTAGAGGCCTTCACAGTCCATCTCGTCCTTCTGAGTTGCCCATTCCGCCTCAGCCTTTGCGCGCTCCTGACGGCGATTTTCGTCAGGAGCTACTCGTTTTCCGAATGGTCATCGGAGGTATCCCCGCTAGAACTCTCCGCGGGCTCTTGGTGCTTTGCTCTCGAGCTTCTTGTCTTCTCTTCGACACGGACCTTGACTCTCTGCTGCCGCCGCTCCTTCCCGGGACACTTGGCCGCAAGATGGCCAAGCTTCCCGCACTCGTAACATTTGCGCTCCTCCAACGGAACAAATTGCTTTTCCTCCGGGGCCCTCCTGCCGTTTATCAACCGATTTGCTTTCACGGGTTCCCAATCCATCTGATCATCGGACGGGGGGGACGACGTGGTTGGCGATCCGGGTGACGGGGGCTTTTGTCGGGACTCGAGCGGTTCGGATAAACGACCATACTCCTTTCTTGACCTCTGCTCGCGGCCTTGTTGTCGTTGGTGGAAATTGAGGCTATCTAGGCGCGAGCCAATCGTCAAGAGTAGCTCGGCGTAGCTGTTGAAATCCTTCGGGAGACTGACGGCACTGACGAGACTCGACTTGAGCCTATTATTAATTGCTCCTTCCAAGTAATTGATTTGCACCACGTCGGCCCACTCGCCACCGCCACTATCGGCAAGCTCTTTCTCGAACTTTGGGAAGAAACTGGCGAAACTCTCATCAGGCTTCTGCTTCAACGATCGAAGTCGATCCAGTGCTCGTGCCTTTGCGTTCGGGTCCCCGTACCGACGGTTCAAGTAGTCGAGAAACAGATCTGGGGCGAGCACCATCGATACCGCCCTGTTCGTAATAAGCAGCGGCCATGTTCTGGGCTGTTCCGCCAACCGGGAGTACACATAGGCGAAGAGTGCTTCTTTATTGTCGAATGCCTGTCGGTCCACAGCCAATTTCGCTTTCATCTCTAAGAACCAGGGACGGAAGTTTTCCTGGTTCCATCGAATTTCGGCGGATCAGGCAAGGTTGGTTTTACCTCTTTGATGGGATTCTTTCGGATGTCTCGATCGATTGAGGCGTGTTGTCGGACATCGGTTCGATAGGAGCGACTGGTTCATTTGCCGGAGTCGGAGTTGAGACGGCTGTTTGGAGGATTCGGATCTGCGATCGCATCTCTTCGCGTTCGGCCTCTTGGCTTGCACACACACTTTCTAGTTTGTCCATCACTGCAGCCAGGGCTTGCATCATCGATTGAGGCTCAAAAGAACCTTGCTGGGAATCGATTGCCTCCATGACTGAAGATTTTCTCCTCGTCTCTCAGGACTGAGGGCGACTTGATCACACAGCAAGTCTGATACGGAAGGGATATCTCGACAACGGTCGAACGCTATCAACGCCTCGAAGGCTCCTTCCTACACGGCTGGACGTTCTGCACAGGGCTTCTAGTCCAGCTGCTGCCGTCCACACTGGGAGCCAAGCAGCAATCACGTACTTCTCGCTCAACCGCACGCCGTACGGAGAGCAGATTGACGCTCCACGTCCTTTGCTCGGGAGATGAGAGCTACGCGACGCGAGCCAAGCTGGCTTTGGCGCCGTACACACACGCACTTTCGTCGCGGGCGTTCCACACAGGATTGCCCAAGCTACTGCCACTCCGCGTACCCACAAAGGGAACTGAACAGCGCTGCCAATTGATTGTGATCAAAGGCTTTAACGATGAAAGCGGAGCTTTAGGATAATGTAACGGTCTCAACTGAGTGTGTTGACAACTAGCTGAGCGACTGCGACGAGTATCCTAAAGCTAAGGAGAAAAGAAAAGAAAGGAAAGCTCTCGAAGATGGCACGAGCTTATAAGCGGAGCTCCGGTGGGTCTTGTCGAGAGCGGAGCCGAGACCCTCACGGGCTCAGCCCGTTACAGATAGTGGCACGGACGTGCCACTATGTATATATGTATGTTGAGAGCTGTCAGACAGAATTGAATAGAAGCAAGTTCAATCGCAACAGTTTTCAATCTGGACCCTTGTCAATCCAATCAATCAATATCGCGGATTGAATTGAATTGAATTGACCACCGGATTGTCAATCCTAGTCAATCCGCGTGGCGTTCCTCTGCTGTCTCTCATTGGCTTCTGCTGGTTACTAGCCCCGTTATCCAGCCAATAAATCAAATTAGGGGGCGGCGCCTCAAACGGCGGATTATGGCGCCGCAAGGATTGACGGATTGAACTTCATTCAATCCGAGCGCCGGCAATCCCCATTATCGGCAAATGAAGATCGATAATTGCGCGCTCGTCCGGAAATTATCTCATTTTAATTACCTAAAGTAGTCATGCTGCTAGCCGGAACCCCCCCCCCCATCTTTTAGGCAAACGGCAGATTTATATAGGTAATCCGTCAACTTCGTACTTCGTATACCATCCGTTCCATGAGTTAAACACTACGCTCTCTTTAATATTCATTATGGAAACTGAACTTAATTCATCCTTTACAATACTTTCTATCGATGATTCAAACGGAATCGATATAAATACTACGTCCGGAAATACGAGAGGTACTTCAGCAATTGCGACTAGGGAACATTGTCGTCCACCGGGACCATATGAACCCGACAGAGCTGGCAAAAACCGACTCTTCTATTGCAAGTATTGCACGGATGGCTATCGATGCCAAGCGAGTAATACCTTTCGAGCGCACCTTGCAAAGATTCATGGGATTGTTGTGGCAGAAGCACCTCGTATTCCAAATGCGGTATTCGAGCAGCTTGAACAGCTTTACCTCAAGGCTGCATCAACGGGGCAGACGGAGGTAATTGACAACCGTGTCCTTCGCAAGGTGCTTGACAAGGAAATCATCACAGAGGCACTTGCCACATTGATCGTCGCGCGAAATCTGTCTTTTCGCATCGTTGAATGGCCTGAGTTTCACGCCCTCTGCAAAGTACTTAATCCAGAAGTGGATGGATGCATCACAACCGCACACTCTGAGATCAGGAAAGCGATCCGCATAACATACGAATCTCGAAAGGATCTCGTACGGAAGGCGCTTCAATCATCAAGTTCAAGCATTCATCTAGCAGTTGATGTATGGACTTCTCCAAACAGGCTTCTTCTTCTTGGAATCTGTGCCCACTTTATTGCACAAGACCAGGATAAATTATCCAGGCTTCTTATCGGTCTTCGCAGGATTCCTAGCCACTCTGGATTGGAGCAATTCCACGCTATGCTACCGGTCCTCGAGGACTACGGTATCTTTCGAAAGGTTGGATCTATCGTTAGCGATAACGCAAGCTCTAACGATACACTTTGCCGTACGATGGGCGAACACCTTGAACAACAGGGCATTGATTGGGATCCAGTTATTCACCGTATGCGTTGCGTTGGCCATATTATCAACTTGGCCGTCCAGGCCTTCCTCTTTCATAACTCTATGCAGATAGAGGAGTTGGACTCGTATGAAGAGCAGGAGATCATGGCTCGGGGTGGCACAGCTGGATCTACCAACAAATCCTCACGACAGTCATTCCGGAAAATGGGTCCACTTGGTAAGCTTCACAACATTGTTGTCTTCGTTCGAGCGTCAAGCGGCCGTACCCAAGCTTTTATTAAGCTAGTAGGGCGACTAGTTCCGCTAGACAATCGTACAAGATGGAATAGCTGGACCAATATGTGCGAGGTTGCACTTCAGCATGAAGGAAAGATTGACGGATTCTGCAAAGCCTACTGGGATGACCTTAAAGACGACTTCCTCTCCCCTTTGGACTGGCAGAAGATTCGAACGGTCCAGACGTTTTTGGCACCATTCCAGGAGGCAACTCTATATTGCCAAGGACACAATGCGACAATCGACTTTGTGCTCTTTACTATGGATGTACTAATTAGGCACCTTGAAGGAGCTCTGTCTGAATTCAAGGCTGACAAGGAGCTCTGTTCACGGATTCAGAGCAGCTGGGAGACCCTTGATAAGTATTACAGCAAGACAGACGACTCTCCTCTCTATGCTGCTGGTATTATACTTAATCCAGATTTTCGTACAAAGTACATCCAAAGCAACTGGAAAGCATCCTGGCAAAAGAAAGCGATTAGCAACGTCAGGGAGCTTTGGCGGAGCTATCGGGATAGCAATCTTGGTGCTATGCCATCGTACGAAGCCGAAGCCAGTCCAGAGACCCGAGAGAGCCAGTATCCGCATTCAACAGGATCGCGCGAGGCCTAAAGGATTACTGTCGGCCACGAAGCCAGGATGAGTTCGATGATTATTGCAACCAAGAACCGCACGGGCTCGGCAAGATGACTGCTATTGAGTGGTGGCTACAAGACCAACAACGAACACGCTTTCCACGGCTTTCGATCATGGCAATTGATGTCCTCTCAATTCCAGCAATGAGTGACGAGGCAGAGCGAGTTTTTTCAGGAGCGCGTCGTACAATCTCGTGGGATAGAGCGCAGTTATTGGCAGAAACCATTGAAATGCTAGAATGTATGAAGAGTTGGCATCGAAGTCCTTGTATTAGACTTTGAAGACGACAGTACGGAGTAGTTAATCAAGCATCCTTCTAAATACTGCGCTGTGGCGCTCCTTCACCTAGTTGTCCCGCCAAAATGGATTGTTCAGCCGTAGGCTGACTTAACATTAATCGAGGAAGTTTTCCCCAAATATGAGGGTTTGCCTTGAGGAACGAAAGGCCTTGCCTTGCCTTGAGGAACGAAAGGACTTCATTAGCGCGCGGGGAAAAAAGGCCCCAGACTGCTTCACCCCCACATCCTCCGCCTCTGATTGGCTGATTTATTTCCTCTTTCGGAATAAAAGATCCCGTGTGATTGGTCGCCGACCCTTCCGTCCCTCCCTCATCATTGGTCGCTGCCGCCTTCTCTTGCCCCTCTCATGCCTTGCCCTGTTTCCCCCCCGTTTATACTCCTGTTTACCCCCTTGCCAATGCCAATGCCAACCTTTTTCCTTTCGTCCGCCGGTTTTCTTATTGTGTCTAAAACTTGCGTCTTTTGTCTTTGCCCTTTTCGTTCATGCCTTTCTAGCGGGTTCTTCCTTCAAGTCTAAAAGTCGCCCCTCGTTGATCGCTGCTGCCCAGTGCCCTTGTCTTCTTGCCCGCCGGCGCGCTCCTCCGTCTTCTCCCCCTCGTCACCTCACCCTGACAACTCTCCTTGACTCTTCAGCGTCGCCATCCGACCGACGCAAAGCTTCCTCGACAGTCCTCTCGCTTAGCACCTCCAGCCTGGCCTGCGCGGCGGTCATCTCTTCGGGGACTCGGTTGCCCACCAAGTCTCTCTCCGCACCTTGGACACGAGCGTGATGCCGTCTAGCGTTCGACAGCGCGATAGCTGCACATATAAGCTGTACGGGTCGCATTGCGAGGGCACGGCCCTTCCATCGACTTTCGTCTTCCGTGTCCCCGCAGCTCCAGGGCCACGCGCTCTGGCGTTCTGCCCTGCACCTTGTAGTCCGTGCAGGCGAAGGCTGCTGCGCACGGCAATCCCTTCCGGCTGACGTCGTTCTGCTGCCACGGCCGCTTTCGTTGGCAGTGTATCCTGACGCTCATCGGCGTTAACAAGATCGTGCCCGGCGGCATCCCGACGAAGTGGAGGTCCTTTGTCGTCGCCGATTCCAGTAATATCCCCGCCGGCGGCCCGAAGTGGATCGTCATGTCGGACGAGATTCGATGCCCTGGGGACGCCTTGTCGACAATGACCTCCACCGCCGAGTAGCCGGCGCCGTTCACCAGCTTCAGCCCCTGATGGGTGTTGTGGTTCACGACGACCGGCATCCCGGCCACGAACATGAAGACGGCCGGCACGGGGATCGCGCTATCGTCGCCTTGATTGAGTACCATGATCGCTTCTTCCTCGGTCGGCAGGCCCTCCTTCCACTTGTGCTCGGAGATGAAGATGCGCATCGTCGACCGCTGCTGGACCCGGAACGCCAAGCTTGCCTCCATGTTTAGGTTCCACCGATTCCTGTTCAGCGGCGTCACCACGGTGATGCCAGTCTCCCAAGGGATCCGCCTGCCCTCGCGGTAGCACCTTGAGTTGAGGAGGTCCAGATCCGTGCGGTCCTGCACACCCTGCCGGATCCGCTTCAGCAGCCCCTGCAATTCCGGATCACCGGCGGCGCGCATTTGCTCGTTCAACATGACGACCGTCGTGAATCTCTTCCACAGCGCGTGCGCTTTGTCGTGCTGGTGCCGCTGCTCGGCCTTGAACGAGTTGTCTACGTCCCACGAGATGGCCGCGCTCGGCAGGACGATCGACCTCTCTTGGACCGGCCGGAACTGCTGAAAGTCTCCGCAGAAGAGGACGATGGGGATCCCCGAAATCTTTCTGCGATCCGCGAAGCCGACAGAGTCGCTCGTTTATGGCGTGCAGCGTCCGCGCTCGAGCATGCTCACCTCGTCGATGACAAGCACGTCCTTCTCCTGCCAGTCCATCCGAGACTGGCCGTGGATGAACCGCTCCGCCCGTTTTGTCAGCCGCACCCCGTCAAGGTCCTTGGCTGTGTTCGCGCCGCCCGCCCCTTGGTCTTTAGTGAACCCGCAGGCGGAGTGGATCGTGATGCCGTTGATCTGCGCCGCGGCAGTCCCTGACGTCGCCGTGATCAGCAGACGATTCGAAAGGCTCTTCCCACTGAACAGCTCGACGAGTGCCCCAATGATCCGCGACTTGCCGGTGCCCCCCTCGCCGCCGACGAACTGGCAGAGCTGGCCGGCATCGCCCTATTCGTTTGTCGCATCAAATCGAGCTGGCGGCATATTATTAGGAAAGCGATCGACTGCCTCTTGTTCAGCGTTAGCCGTGTTGACAACTCCTTGCCCGCCGCGAAGAAGGAGGTCGATGGGCCAAGCTGGACGCGCATTCCCGCTTCTGCGTCGCTAGCCGTCTCGTCGGAGTCGGCTGTCGTCATTTCGACGTCGTCCTCCCGAAGCCGGTCATCACCCTCCGCAACGCAGCTCGGCGATCGCTTTCCCGGACTGCGACTGTGGTTTGTACGCCTTGGATCATTCTCTCCTTTCCTCGACGCACTTATCTGCTGCGACTTGATAGCCTTGACCTGATCCTGCGGCGGTAGTGCGGCCCCGGAAAATACCCGCCCTGGCATGCTTATGCACCTCAACCCTTGTTCGGGAATCGCGATGGCCTCGAGCTCGGCCGTTGAGCAGAGCGCCGATTGCTGGAATCGACAGAGCTGCCGCATCATTGCCATGAGCTCCGGCGACTTGGCCGTCACCTGATTCGTGCCCACTGCGCCTCGGACGACGTCGATCAGGCGCGTTGCGTCTCCGATGTTGTTGGACCGATACGTCGCTGCAAATTCTGCGCCCGCCTCGCCTGTCTCGCCCTCCTCGACGTGGGCGACCGTGGAATCGCCATCGCCGGATGAGGCCGCCCATTGCTTGGCGTCGCGCTTTGCGTCTTCGGCTGATCGTCGAAGCAGCTGCACGTTGTCGACGAGACATGATATTCTCGGGCCAGCGCCTCTCGCGCCCGCTCCCAGATGCTATTGATCTCACCTGTTTCTTCGCACAGAAAGGACTCCACGGCACAAATAGCGCAAGATGCTGCACGGCTGCCCTTTAAGGGGAGGGGAGGTTAGCCACTCTGATGATGCCTGCCGGCAGGGCGGTTGCTATACACACCTCCGGTGGCACGACTCCTCGTCGTCGTTGTGGCCGAAGTCCTTGCTCAGGTAGCCATCGAGGCAGACGGTAGCATGCTTGCCCGGCCGCCTGAGCACCTGGACCCAGCGTCTCCCTGGCGCCCATCCATCCTCGAAGGGCACCTCCCCCCAGGCCGCACAGCTCTCATCCTTACTGGTGCGTTTTAGTCTAACGACCGATATGTAGTCGTATAAGCATAGCCCTCGCAGGAGCTCTCCCCGGTGCTGGTACGCCTCAACGTGGGAGATCCTCAGGCCTGCTTCTTCGACAACGACCGACTCATCCAGAGTATCATCTATGGCCGCCGCGCCACTTGCTCGTCGGAGATACGGCCACCGTCGAAAGACTTCCCAGTACAGCAGAGATGTGTTCAGGTACGCCCAGGCGCTGCTGTTGGTGAACTCGGCCGGATATCCAAGAAGATGAGCGACGACCTCGACCTGAGATAGCGGACGCTCCGTGAACACACGATTCGCCACCCTCATCAAGAACTGTCGCGTCCTGTTCCCTTGGCGGCGTCATCGCCAACAGCACCTCCACCGTCGTCCTGTCCTCCGTTGGCCGTGCCGTCACCCGTTGAGGCGGCCAGGAGATCGGCCGCGGCCGCCACACGCTTCCACACCGGGTCCTCCACCTTCGTCGCGTAGTTCGTGACATAATACATAAGGGCCATGGTCTTGCGCTGCGTCGCAATGAAGGAAATGTCGTGGTTGTGCCGGAGCCCAACAGCGATAGCCTTGTTCCATCGATTGACCATGCTGTGAGTCCTCCGGATCTGCAACACCCCGTCTGCCGTGATGGCGGTCTTGTCGACCAACCTCCATGGAGACTTAAACCGGCATAGATTCCCTTTCCGCGCTCCTTTGCCCAGGAATACTTGACACAGGTCGGGCTATGCGTGTGAACCTGTGTAGCGCCGGCACAGAAGTTGGCCTCCTCGTCAAATGCGGCCGAAAACTGCTCGGTGTTGTCCAGCAGGGAGAAATATCGGACGTCACAGATCGCTCCGCTTGCACGGCGCAGAACCCTTCCTGATCCAGATCCTATCTTGCACGTCAGCCTGGCCCCGTTTGTCCATCGGACGAGCAATTCAGGTTCTCAGTGACACGTCTTAGCTATTCTTACCTCGGAGAAGACACTATCGACGTATCGTATGATTCGCTCGCGATACGCCGCCTGATCCTCCCCGTGGATGTCGGCAAGCATCGAGCTGAGATGCGCGTTTCCGTGCAACCAGAGCAAGCCGTGAACATGAAGCGCCCTCGTTCGTTGGTCTCCACAGCGCCATAGTACTTGCCGATGCGCCCGAATACCGACTCTTCTCCGACCTTCACGTAATGATCGAAGAACAGCTTCATCTCCCGGTGGAAGAATACGGCGGCGCTCATCGGATCGGACATGGCCAGCCTTGTCCGCTTGTACGCACTCCCAAGGCCTTCTAGGAACTCCTCGGCCGCGCCGGGATCGCGTGTCCGATATGCCGCCAGTCGCAGCTTCACCGGGTTCGTAATGTCGTTTGGGTTGATGGTGAACCAGATGGCCGGAACGCCGTAGCCAACGATGAGCGACTGGATTTTCCGCCGCATATTGAGCCGAACCTCTCTCGACATGGGTTGCCGGTGGCCGTACAGCGAGAGGCTCCTGAGAAGCTCCTTCACGCCCTCATCGGTCGTCTTGCCCGAGCTCTCCAACTCGACCCTCGCCGCCGCTAACCTTTGCGCGGTCATCGAGCGGGCAACGCGCTCGACCTTGCCGAAGTCCTTCCTCGCCACACTCAGCATGCTGACGCGGCGGTTCCTCGACCGCACCCCCATGTTGAAGACGAGAAATGCAAATATGTGGTGCAACGCAAACCGGCCACCATGGCGCCGGAGCACGATGTCGGCCCAAATCCGGAGGTTCAAGCTTCGGGAGGATACGATGTCTCCCGCTGCCGCCCCTGCCTCAGCAGCTCTACCGGTGCCTCGCAAGTTGGTAAGGGCCTTCCCCGCCTCGGCTATGGCCTCTTCGGCCAGCCTTGGTCCCCCAACGCCAAATGGGAACAGGGTCGGGAACGTTCTGGCGAAGAAGGACGTCTCAAAGGAGTCGGCAAACTCATCCCCCCGCGAGACTCGAATGTATGGCTCACTGCCATCGTCGCCACGCCCTCGACCCCCCCCCACCGAGGATCCGACCCACGTTCTCGGGCCCGCGCGGCCGTCGTCGGCACCTGCGCCAACAGCGTCACAGGCAAACCGCAGCTTCTCGACATCCGCCACGTCTGGCGGTCCGTCCAGCCAAACATGCCGGAAGACGTCACCTCGTTGATTGGTCGAACGTTCTGATCGGGGCTAGCACCAACTCCATCACGACCCGCGCCTTCTTCGTTGGGCCCGTGCCCTTCAGCCTCGCCTCCCGTTTCCTGCCTTTGGTTGAGCAGAGCGAAGAGTTCCTCGATCTCCACCGACCCCTCGTCGTCCATGGCGCGCTCCGTGGGCGGCACAACGTGCGCCGTCCGCGTTTTCTCCCATGCGGACGGCTCGTTCCGCTCCATGCGATCATACACCAAGGCCGGCACCCCGTCTATCGGGTCTCCCCAACTCTCCATCTCCGCCACGTCGATCTCGATCTCGGCGTAGTGGGGGTTGCTCCTCTTCAGCCAAACAAGAGCCCTCTCGACGACCCGCCGCCTCACCGACAAGAGACTCGACAGGTCGCTCGGTGCCGGCTTCTCCACGCCCTGCCACGAAACGTGGATCTCGTCCAGTGCTTGCAAAGGGGTGCGGGAGCACCTGGTCGCCAGCTCCTGCACGTTGTTGGGAAACACTGTGATGTGGCCCTGACGTGCCTCGGATACCTCACGGCCTGCCTCTGCCCGCCCGGAATGCTATATCTCGTGACAAACCCATAGCAGGAGTTGAGCGAGACGAGCTTCTCTTCGACCAGCGTGAGTCCCTTGAGCTCGTCAGGGAACATGTGCTCACAGCCAAGGCGAGTGTGAAGATGGACCGCCGGCGACAGACTCCCGCGCGCCAGGCATCGGGCACACTCCGCACACACCGACACGGGCTCGCCTTCGGGAAAGCAGCTCCGGCATGAAAATGGTGAGCGGCCGCCCTCTGGCACGCAGCTTGACAGCCATTGATCCCATCTGATCTCCTCAGCTCTTTTCTCGTACGCTTGCGGTAGCACATCATGCAGGTCCGTATCGGCAACGTGCTCGCATCGTGGAACGCCTGATAAAAATCCCGCACCGTCGACACCTTCCTGTCGTGCGGTATTGGCGTACACCACGTCTGATCGTTAGACAGCCTCTCCTTCATGGCGAAGTCTTCCTCCAAAAAACGCAGCACACTCGCCAGGTCTTCGGCCCGCAGCTCCCGACTCCTCTGCCTTCCGATTCCACTCCGAATCTGTTTTCTCGGGCGCTCGTCCGGACCAGGAAGACGTTTTCTCTTCTCCCGCCTCCGGGGCCGCCTCCGGGCCCCTCCGATCCATGATTTCTTCTCTCCGTGGCTGATTCGCTTCTTCGCAAGCTGTCGGATGCGGCAGCTTTGGCGACGACTGCCCGACTACGTGCGCATCCTGACACGCCATCCGGCCCTTTGCACTGGACAGGCACCGGGCCGTGCTGGCGAACGTTTTCCACGCCCGACCTTGACCTCAGTCCTTGCCCTTTCAGCACTCTCCTCGTTCTTGCTGCCGATCAAACTGCACGGGCTCCCCAGCCGCCACCCGCGATGAGCCGCCCACCTCCCTTTGCTGCAGCCTCCGCCCGCTCAGCGAAGCGTCCGCTGGCTCTGCCGCGGCGTCGCCCACCCCCACAGGAGACGGCCCCGGATGCTGCGCCGTACCTGCTGCGTTGGAGACACCCTGCGGCCTGGTACTCCTTTACCCGCCAACTCCGTCCCCGACGGCGCTTGGGCAAACCAGACGCAATCGCTGCTGCTAATTGCCCGTTTTCTCTTAAGTTGTCGAATACCGGTTCCCTAGGCTGGATGGATCGAAGCTTCGGTACCTCCTTCGAATGAACACTCGGGACATCGCCCGCCGCCGCCGTAACACGTTGCTCCTCATCTTCAGGATCTCCCTCCTGAGGCAGAAAGTGCCGATGAGGGAGCGGACGATCAGAGTCCGCTACCCCCATATCTCCACGTTCCCTAGGCAACAGGGGCCTCGGAAGCTGACCCGGTGACTGATGTTGCGCGGAACTTCCGCTGCTAACCATATTATGGAACTTCCGTGCTCTGTTTGACCGCAAACCGCCTCGCGGCGGTCTTCTCGGCAACGACCTCGCAATTGCTTCTGCGTGCTGTCTCCATGCGGTGTCTTCAACCACAGGTTTCCTAGGCTGAATCGGCCGGAACGTTGATGCCGCATTCGCCCGTGATTCGTATCTTCGTAACCGTCCCAGGCTCTCCCCCCGTGCTCTGCGGCCCCTCTCAGAAGCTGCCACCACATCTACACCGGCTCCTGTCGCACCATCTCCGAGCCCCGAACCCGACCCGCTCACGTTCTCACCCTCTTCTCCATCCCCGACTGACAACGAACAGGCTTCAGGGTGAGCAACCGCCTCGCTTAACTTCACTGCAGGACTGTCCGCCATGCTGCTGCCTCCTCGACGTCGACTGCCGTAAATTGGCAACAGGCTATAAAGCTTTGGCTCCGGAGCACCTCCACTTGGACAGTCTCGCTTGTTGACGACGCTACTTCTCCCGAATGGGAAGCTCCTAACCATCACTTCCTCATGGCCGTGGCGTTTCTTCCTTATAGCTTCCTATAAAATGCTTCCCTATGGTACCGAGGCGATGCAATACTACCTCTATATTCCCCGTTACCATGCCTATCTATGTGCGTCCACCGTCCCGGCCTCGCCTGGTCTCCACGTGCGACCTGCTACCCCGGCTTTGCCAAAGCGACCCTTCCATCGCCGTGCTCTCTTTGCGCACTCCAGCGAATCCTGGCCACTGCCGACCTCCGGCACATGGAGATGGCCGCGACAACCGCCTGCCGCACACTTCAAACCATACTCTTCAGCCCTTCCAACACCATCCTACCAACCTTGCGCATCAGTTCACCATCAATACCCGCCAATCCGCCTCGTCGAGCAACAGCCACAAGGCTGCCGGCGATAACATGTCCATGACGTCCCTCATGCAGCCGGACTACCCTTCTAGATTTGCTCCCTCGCCAGCACCAATGTCGCATCAACGGCCTTAATGCTAAAGCGATAGCCAGGACCCCCCTGCCTGTCCTCTTGTAGTCGCTAGCCACCGGAGTCTCGACTTGCAAACCCTCTTGGAAAGTTCTCGTGACCAACTCGCATCCTCCTCCTCAGGTCGACCCATATATCCGACTTCACCGTGTCCCAATAGTAGACTCGACACGGTCGGCACCCGCCTCGCTCAGCCGCACGCAATGCCCATCCAACTACCGACGACCGTCAAAAGGAGTCCTGCAATACTACCATAACCTCTTTCTTTCCTTCACTCATTCGTTATTGCCCCTTTGCTATCTACTCCATGCAACGATGACACCGAAGGGGACTACTGGACTTTCTTTCTCCGCAGTCTTACCCACACTAACCTTACCGTTCGCCGACCTCCAACTTCTCGCAACATAGCCATCACCCCTACTCAACTTCCAACCCCCGGCTCCCTACTTCACTCACGACCACAGAACCAGATGGTCGAGACTGCTCGAGAACCTCGCCAGCTCATTCCCGCATACCCCCGCTTCTGATCTATCACCTAGGTAGCATTCACTGACTCTCAAGTCTCCCGACCCGAGCCACGAGCCCTCTTTCGAGCAGCAAGAAAACCTGCTTTATAGGATGCCTACCTCTACTCTGCCTAACCCTCCTTTACACTTCCACGGTGACCACATCTGCCATGTTCTCACGATGTCGGCCTCCCAGCTCAACGTCGATACCTCGTCCTCCCGCGGCAACCTCTTGACAGCCAGAAAATGCTGGCGCCGACATGTCCATGATGGCCTTTGTCCAGCCCGGCTGCCCGTCTAGGTTCGCCTACCAGAATGAGCATCGTGTCAAAGGGCTCAACGCAGAAACCCTAGCGAGGGTCTTCCTTCCAACGCCCTCATGGCTGTCGACTCCAGAGTATGCAGCAATCCGGTCAGATCCTGACAATCCATCGACCTGCATCTTCTTGAGCCTTAATATTTCCATATACAACCAACAGATAATCCCCTCGGAATGGACCGAGCAGTGGTTCTTTATGGTCGGCCGTGTTCATCCCTTTGCCCTGACGTGGGAAATCGAGCGACGTGATAGCTTCGAGTCGGAGGATGACAACATTACAGAATACACCATCCCGGCTCTCATCGTCCGCGACCACAGCTACCAGCCGTAGGTGTATGCTCCAGACCTCCGTCACCACTACCATCTCTGACGATGGCCACAGAGTCATCCCTCGCACCCTCGGCTCGGCGGATGCCTTCCCAGCGATACAACCCATTGTCTCCTTCACGGGACCTGTCATCGGTTCCGGCCGCGACCTTCTGCATGGAAACTCGGCTGCGGCCCTTGACGACACCCAGCTGAGCTGTTGCGGCTTTGTCCAGCTCTCGACCTTTATCTGTCCTGGGATTCCGGGCAAACACCCTTCAAGGGCTTTCATCCCTTTCAACTTTTCGTCATCTTCCCCATTCACGCCAATCCTTGGACCTCCCTATGCAAGAAGATGACCGAGAGGCGCGATAGCCAGTTCCAGCCGAACGCTCTCCTCACCTGCACGGGCAAAATCGCCGGCTTACTCGATCACCAGATCATGACACATGCCCCGGCCTTCGAGCAAGACTATATCTTCATCGTCGTCCCCGATACATGGACTTTCCTTGACAGGGCCATGTCCAACCAGGCTTCTGCGACACAGCTACTGCCGACGACACCCAAGGGCTCAGTCGGCAACCCTCGGACTATAGCGATGCGTTGGCCAGGTTTACCTCTACCAAAAACGCAATGCCGCCCCAAGCGGCGCCTCCCCACGCCGCCTGCATCTAGGTCAGTCGATCCTTATGATGACATCAAAGCGGTCATTGCCCGATCCCGACCAAACCCCAACCAAGAGACCGCGACTTTCTCCAGAAATTTCCACCATAGTCGCCGCCTGTGATAGTCGAGGCCCCGCCAAATCCGACACTTCCTCCCTTCTGTCCCACGAAGACCCCGGAGACTCAGAGACGGACACCGAGCCAGTCAATCACCCAGCCACATCCGCCTCTGGCCCTATCAGACCTCCGGCGTCAATCTCTTCCCGACCGCACCGCGCCCGACATCCGCCCAAGAATATTCTGTAAAGCAACGAACGAAACAACACAACATGACAAGGAACATGTTTCATCATCCTCAAACTCAAGTGCGAAAGGCCCTAATGGGATATTTCCTTCTCCTCTTGCTCTCCTTTTCACAAAGACAATCCAGTCAAAACTTCTCCAATATACTCCTTATTCTGTTTATATCCACCACTTATAGCACCTGTAAATCCTCAGAGCCTTCCACTCGCCCACACATGCATTACCCACCCACAACTCTCTTCACCCCTGCCGCCTCTCCACGCCCTTTGCGCCTTTGCAAAGCAAAATCTCCTTGCAGCGGCCTAGGCTGCCTCTCTGACGCTCTGTCTCGATTTCACTCACGATAATGCTCTACGTCTCTCGCCGGATCTCCATCTCATATCTCTTATCTCACTCTTCTTCCTGTCTTCCTCTCACCCCCTGTCTCCTATCTCCTGTCGCCAACTCTCTCCTCTCCCCGACTTTCTCCTGTCGCCATCGCCAACTTTCGTTCCGAAAGGCCTCTTTGCGCGAGCCGCGGCTGGCGAGCCTTCCCCTCGTCATTAGCGCGCGGGGGGAAACGCCAAACTTCTTCTTCCTCCGGTAGACGATAAGATCCCTTGTGATTGGTCGCCGATGCCTTGAGGAACGAAAGGCCTTCATTAGCGCGCGGGGGGAAACGCCAAACTTCTTCTTCCTCCGGTGCCTTGAGGAACGAAAGGCCTTCATTAGCGCGCGGGGGGAAACGCCAAACTTCTTCTTCCTCCGGTAGACGATAAGATGCCTTGAGGAACGAAAGGCCTTCATTAGCGCGCGGGGGGAAACGCCAAACTTCTTCTTCCTCCGGTAGACGATAAGATCCCTTGTGATTGGTCGCCGATGCTTTCCATCCCTCCCTCCCTCCTCATTGGTCCCTCCTGCCTTGCCCCTCCCATCCCCCTTCCTTGGGCGTGGCACGGGTACTTCCGTTGTCATGTCATTGGCCTGCCTAGACCTCTACCCCACCTTTTTCCCTGCCGGCCCCATGGTCACGTCGCCCAGCGCCGCCGCCTTGTTGACTCTTCACCATCCCCCCATCCAACCAGCGCGACGCCTCCTCGACAGTCCTCTCGCTCAGTACCTCGAGCCTGGCCTGCGCGGCATTCATCTCCTCGGGGACCCGGTTGCCCACCAAGTCCCTCTCCCGCACCTTGGAGACGAGCATGATGCCGTCAAGCGTTCGGCAGCGTGATAGCTGCACGTACAGGCTGTACGGGTCACACTGCGCGGCCACGGGCCTTCCGTCGACCTTCGTCGTCCGCGTCCCTCGCAGCTCGAGGGCCACACGCTCCAGCGTTCGGCCCTGCACCTTGTAGTCCGTGCACGCGAAGGCTGCTGCGCACGGCAAACCCTTCCGGCTGACGTCGCTCCGCTGCCACGGCCGCTTCCGTTGGCGATATATCCTAACGCTCATCGGCGTCAACAAGATCGTGCCCGTCGGCATCCCGACGAAGTGGAGGTCCCTTGTCGTCGCCGATTCCAGTATTATCCCTGCCGGCGGCCCGAAGTGGATCGTCATGTCGGCCGAGATCCGATGTCCCGGGTACGCCTTGTCGATGATGACCTCCACCGCCGAGTAGCTGGCGCCGTTCACCACCTTCAGCCCCTGGTGGGTGTTGTGGTTTACGACGACCGGCATCCCGGCCACGAACATGAAGACGGCCGGCACCGGGATCGCGCTATCATCGCCCTGGTTGAGCATCATGATTGCTTCTTCCTCCGTCGGCAGCTCCTCCTTCCACTTGTGCTCGGAGATGAAGATGCGCATCATTGATCGCTGCTGGACCCGGAACGCCAAGGTCGCCTCCATGTTCAGGTTCCACCGATTCCTGTTGAGCGGCGTCACTACGGTGATGCCCGTCTCCCAAGGGATCCGCCTGTCCTCCCGGTAGCACCTTGAGTTGAGGAGATCCAGATCCGTGCGATCCTGCACTCCTAGACGGATCCGCTTCAGCAGCCTCTGCAGCTCCGGGTCCCCGGCGGCGCGCATCTGCTCGTCCAGCATGACGACCGTCGTGAACCTCTTCCACAGTGCGTGCGCTTTGTCGTGCTGGTGACGCTGCTCCGCCCTGAACGAATTGTCCTCGTCCCACGAGATGGCCACGCTCGGCAGGAGGATCGACCTCTCTTGGACCGGCCGGAACTGGTGGAAGTCTCCGCAGAAGAGGACGATAGGGATCCCCCCGAAATCTTCCTTCGATCCTCGAAGCCGGTGGAGCTGCTCGTTTACGGCGTGCAGCGTCCGTGCTCCGAGCATGCTCACTTCGTCGATGACGAGCACGTCCTTCTCCTGCCAATCCATTCGGGACTGGCCGTGGATGAACCGCTCCGCCTGTTTCGGCAGCCGCACCCCGTCAAGGTCCCTGGCCATGTTCGCGCCGCCCGCCCCTGGTCTTTAGTGAACCCGCAGGCGGAGTGGATCGTGATTCCGTTGATCTGCGCCGCGGCAGTCCCTGACGTGGCTGTGATCAGCAGACGATTCGAAAGGCTCTTCCTACTGAACAACTCGACGAGTGCCCCAATAATTCGCGACTTGCCGGTACCCCCCTCGCCGCCGACGAACTGGCACAGCTGGCCGGCATTGCCCCCGTCCATTTGTCGCATCAAATCGAGCTGGCGGCATATTAGTAGGAACGCGATCGACTGCCTCTTATTCAGCGTTAGCCGTGTTGCCAACTCCCTGCCCGCCGCGAAGAAGGAGGTTGATGGGCCAAGCTGGACGCGCATTCCCGCTTCTGTGTCGCTAGCCGCCTCGTCGGAGTCGGCCATCGTCATTTCGACATCGTCCTCCCCGAAGCCGGTCATCACCCTCCGCAGCGCGGCGCGGCGGTCACTTTCCCGGACCGCCGGTATGCTTTGTACGCTTTGTATGCCTTGGATCATCCTCTCCCTCTCCTTCGACGCGCTTGTCTGCTGCGACTTGATGGCCCTGACCTGATCCTGCGGTGGTAGTGCAGCCCGGAAAATGCCCGCCCCGGCATGCTTATCCGTCTCGCCCTCGTTCGGGTACCACGGTGGCCTCCAGCTCGGCCGTCGAGCCCAGCGCTGATTGCTGAAACCGACAGAGCTGTTGCATCATCGCCATGAGCTCCGGCGACTTGGCCGTCACTTGATTTATGCCCACTGCACCTCGGACGACGTCGATCAGCCGCGTCGCGCCCCGATGCTGCTGGGTTGGTACATCGTCGTGGATTCTGCGCCCGCGTCGTCCGTCCCGGTCTCCTCCACGTGTGCGACGGTCGGATCGCCATCTCCGGATGAGGCTGCCCATTGCTTGGCGTCGCGTTTTGCATCTTCGGCCGATCGTCGAAGCAGCTGCACGTTGTCGACGAGACATGATATTCTCGGAGCCAGCGCCTCTCGCGCCCGCTCCCAGATGCCATTGATCTCGCCTGTTTCTTGGCACAGGAAGGACTCCCACGGCACGAAGAGTGCAAGATGCTGCACGGCTGCCCTTCAAAGAGGGGGGGTTAGCCTCTCCTATAATGCCTGCCGGCAGGGCGGTTGCTATACACACCTCCGGTGGCACGACTCGTCGTCGTCGTGGCCGAAGTCCTTGCTTAGGTAGCCATCGAGGCAGACGCTAGCATGCTTGCCCGGCCGTCTGAGCACCTGGACCCAGTGTCTTCCTCCTGGCGCCCATCCATCCTCGAAGGGCACCTCCCCCCAACCCGCGCAGTTCGCCGCCTCCTTACAGATGCGTTTTAGTCTCACGAGCGATATGTAATCGTATAAGCATAGTCCTCGCAGGAGCTCTCCCCGGTGCTGGTACGCCTCGACGTGGGAGATCCTCAGGCCTGCTTCTTCGACGACGACGACCGACTCATCCAGAGTATCGTCTATGTCCGCCGCGCCACTTGCTTGCCGGAGATGCGGCCACCGTCGAAAGACTTCCCAGTACAGTAGAGATGTGTTCAGGTACGCCCAGGCGCTGCTGTTGGTGAACTCGGCCGGATATCCCAGAAGATGAGCGATGACCTCGACCTGCGAGAGCGGACGGTCCGTGAACACGCGGTTCGCCACTCTCATCAGGAATTGTCGGGTCCTGTTCCCCTTGGCGGCGTCATCACCAACAGCATCTCCACCGCCGTCCCGTCCTCCGTTGCCCGCGCCGTCATCCGTCGAGGCGTCCAGGAGCTCGGCCGCAGCCGCCACACGCTTCCACACCGGGTCTTCCACCTTCGTCGCGTAATTCGTGACATAATAGATGAGGGCCATGGTCTTGCGCTGCGTCGCAATGAACGAAATGTCGTGGTTGTGCCGGAGCCCCACAGCGATGGCCTTGTTCCATCGATTAACCATGCTGTGAGTCCTCCGGACCTGCAGCACCCCGTCTGCCGTGATGGCTGTCTTGTCGACCAACCTCCATGGAGCCTTGAACCGGCATAGATTCCCTTTCCGCGCCCCTTTGCCCAAGGAATACTTGACACAGGTCGGGCTATGCGTGTGGACCTGCGTCGCGCCGGCACAGAAGTTGGCCTCCTCGTCAAAGGCGGCCGAAAACTGCTCGGCGTTGCCTAGCAGGGAGGAAATATCGCACGTCACAGATCGCTCCGCTTGCATGGCACCGAACCCTTCCTGGTCCAGATCCTAGCTTGCACGTCAGCCTGGCCCCGGTTGTCCATCGGACGAGCAATTCAGGCCATCGGTGACACACATCCTAGGTACTCTTACCTCGCAGAAGACACTATCGACGTATCGTATGATCCGCTCGCGATACGCCGCCTGATCCTCCCCGTGGATGTCGGCAAGCATCGAGCTGAGATGCGCGTTTCCCTGCAACCAGAGCAAGCCGTGGACATGAAGCGCCCCTCGTTCGTTGGTCTCCACGGCGCCATAGTACTTGCTGATGCGCCCGAATACCGACTCTTCACCGACTTTCACGTAGTGATCGAAGAATAGCTTCATCTCCCGGTGGAAGAATACGGCGGAGCTCATGGGATCCGATATGGCCAGCCGCGCCCGCTTGTACGCACTTCCGAGGCCTTCTAGGAACTCCTCGGCCGCGTCGGGATCGCGAGTGCGGTATGCCGCCAGTCGCAGCTTCACCGGGTTCGTAATGTCATTCGGGTTGATGGTGAACCAGATGGCCGGCACGCCGTAGCCAACGATGAGCGACTGGATTTTCCGCCGCATATTGAGCCGGACCTCCCTGGACATGGGCTGCCGGTGGCCATACAGCGAGAGGCTCCTGAGAAGCTCCTTCACGCCATCGTCGGTCGTCTTGCCCGAGCTCTCCAACTCGACCCTCGCCGCGGCTAACCTCTCTGCGGCCATCGAGCGAACAATGCGCTCTACCGTGCGGAAGTTCCTCCTCGTCACACTCAGCATGCTAACACGGCGGTTCCGCGACCGCACCCCCATGTTAAAGACAAGAAACGCAAAGATGTGGTGCGACGCAAATCGGCCACCGTGGCGCCGGAGCACTATGTCGGCCCACACCCGAAGGTTCAAGCTTCGAGAGGATACGGAGTCTCGCGCAGCCGCCTCTGCCTCAACAGCCCTACCTCGCAACTCGGTGGTAGCCTTCCCGACCTTGACTATGCTCTCTTCAAGCAGCCTTGGTCCCCCGACGCCAAATGGGAACAGGGTTGGGAACGTTCGGGCGAAGAAGGATGTCTCAAAGGAATCGGCGAAGTCGTCACCCCGCGAAACTCGGATGTATGGCTCACGGCTATCGTCGCCACGCCCCCGAGCCCCCGCCGCCGAGGATCCGATCCACGTTCTCGGGCCTGCACGGCTCTCGTCGGCACCCTCATCAATGGCGTCGCAGGCAAACCGCAGCTTCTCGACATCTACCACGTCTGGCGGTCCGTCCAGTGCAAACATGGCAGAGGACGTCACCTCGTTGATCGCTTCAACATTCTGATCGGGGCCAGCCCCAATTCCAACGCGATCCGCGCCTTCTTCGTTAGGCCCCTGCCCCTCAGCCTCGCCGTCTGTTTCTTGCCTTTGGTTGAGCAGCGCGAAGAGTTGGTCGATCTCTACCAACCCCTCGTCGTCCATGGCGCGCTCTGAGGGCGGCACAACGTGGGCCGTTCGCGTTTTCTCCCATGCAGACGGCTCGTTCCGCTCCATGCGATCGTACACCAACCTCGGCACCCCGTGTATCGGGTCTCCCCAGCTCTCCATCTCCGCCACGTCGATCTCGATCTCGGTATAGTGGGGGTTGTTCTTCTTCAGCCAGATAAGGGCCCTCTCGACGACCCGCCGCCTTACCGATAAGAGACTCGACAGGTCGCTCGGTGCCGGCTTCTCCGCGCCCTGCCACGAAATGTGTATCTCATCCAGTGCTTGCAAAAGGGGGTGCGGCAGCACTTTGGTTGCCAGCTCCTGCACATTGTTCGGAAACACTGTGATGTGGCCCTTGACGTGCCTCGGATACCTCACGCCCTGCCTCTGCGCGCCCGGAATGCTGTACCTCGTCACAAACCCGTAACACGAGTTCGGTGAGATGAGCTTCTCCTCGACCGGCGTGAGTCCCTTGAGCTCATCTGGGAACATGTGCTCACAGCCAAGGCGGCTGTGAAGGTGAACCGCCGGCGACAGGCTCCCGCGTGCCAGGCATCGGCCACACTCGGCACACACCGACACGGACTCGCCCTCGGAAAGCAACCCCGGCATGAAAATGGTGAGTGGCCGCCCTTTGGTACGCAGCTTGACAGCCACTGATCCCACATAATCTCCTTAACTCTCCGCCCGTACACTTGCCGTAGCACAGCATGCAGGTCCGTATCGGCAACGTGCTCGCATCATGAAACGCCTGATAGAAATCTCGCACCGTCGACACCTTCCTCTCGAGCGGTATTGGTGTACACCACGTCTGATCGTTAGACAATCTCTCCTTCGAGGCAAAGTCTTCCTCCAAAAGCGCAGCACACTAGCCAGGTCTTCGGCCTGCAGCTCCCGTCTCCTCTGCCTTCCGATTCCACTTCGGACCTGTTTTATCGGGCGCCCATACCGGCTAGGAAGACGGGCTCTCTTCTCCTGCCTCCGGGGCTGCCTCAGTCCGCCCAGCACAGCGTCCGCTGGCTCTGCCGCGTCATCGTCCACACCCACCGCTGCACTACCGTCTCCCATGGGAGGCGGCCCCGGACGCTGCGCCGAACCTGCTGCGTTAGAGATTCCCTTGCGGTCTGGTAGTCCCTTTACCCGCCAACTCCGTCCCCGACGGCGCTTCGGCAAACCCCATGCAATCGATGCTGCTAATTGCTCGTTTCGCCTTAGGTCTCCGAATGCCGGTTCCTTGGGCTGGATAGGTCGGAGCGTCGGTCCCTTTCCGAACGAACACCCGGGACATCGCCGGCCGCCGCCGTATCGCCCTGATCACCATCTTCAGGACCCTATTCTGAGGCAAAAAGTGTCGATGACGGAGCGGACGATCAGAATCCACTGCCCATGGATCTCCACGTTCTCCGGGCGACCAGGGCCTCGGAAGCTGCCTTGGCGACTGATGTTGCGCGGAACTTTCGCCTCTAACCGTATTATGGAACCTCCGTGCTCTGTTTGACCGCAAACCGCCTCGCGGGAGTTTTTTCGGCACTGACTTTGCGATTGCCTCTGCATGCTTTCTCCATGCGGTTTCTTCAACCGCAGACTGCTTAGGCTGAATCGGCCGAGACGTTGATGCTGCATTCGCCAGTGATTTGTATCTTCCGAACCGCCCCAAGCCTGTCTCCTGTGCTCTGTGCCCCTTCTCGGAAGTGGCCCCGGTATCATCTCCGCACCCCAAAACCGGCACTCCCCCGTTCCTGCCCCCTCCTCCATCCCCGACTGACAACGAACAGGCTCCAGTGTGAGCAGCCGCCTCGCCTAGCTTCCCTACAGGACTATCCGCCATGCTTCTGCCTCCTCGACGTCGACTACCGTAGACTGGCAACAGGTTATGAAGCTTTGGCTCCGGAGCACCTCCACTTGGATAATCTCGCTTGTTAATGACGCTACTTCTTCCGAATGGGAAGCTTCCTAACCGATCACTTCCCTCATGGCCGTGGCATTTCTTCCCTTATAATGCTTCCCTATGGTACCGAGGCGATGCAGTACTACCCCATTATAATCCCCCATTACCCTGCCTATGTGCGTCCACCGTCCCGGCCCTCGGCTGGTCTCCACATGCGACCTGCTACCCCGGCTTTGTCAAAGGCGGCCCTTCCATCGCCGTGCTCTCTTTTGCGCACTCCAGCGAATCCCTGGCTACTGCCGACCTCCGGCACATGGGGGTGGCCGCGCCAACCGCCCGCCGCACACTTCCAACCATACTCTCCGGCCCTTCCAACACCGTCCCACCCACCTTGCGCATCAGTTTCTCCATCAATAGCTGCCAATCCACCTCGTCGAGCAACAGCCAAAAGGCTACCGGCGATAACATGTCCACGATGTCCCTCGTGCAGCCGGACTACCCGGCTAGGTTTGCTCCCTCGCCACCACCAACGTCGCATCAACGGCCTTAATGCTAAACCGATAGCAAGAATCCCCCTGCCCCTCCTCTTGTAGTCGCTAGCCACCGGAGTCTCGACCTGCAAAAACCCTTGGAGAGTTCTCGTGACCAACTCGCATCCCCCTCACCAGGTCGACCCCATCCATATATATCCGACTTCACCGTGTCCCAATGGTAGACTCGACACGGTTGGCACCCACCTCGCTCAGCCGCACGCAATGCCCATCCAACTACCGACGACCGCCAAAAAAGGAGCCCTGCAATACTACCATAACCTCCTTCTTTCTTTCACTCTCATTCGCTATTGCCCGCCTTTGCTATCTACTCCAAGGAACGATGACACCGAAGGTACTACTGGGCTTTCTTTTCCGCAGACTTGCCCACACTAACCTTACCGTTCGCCGACCTCCTACGAAGTACTTCTCCCAACATAGCCATCACCCCCCTACTCAACTTCCAACCCCGGCTGCCTTCTTCACCCACGACCGCAGAAACAGATGGTCGAGACTGTTCGAGAGACCTTGCCAGCTCATTCCCGCATGCCCCCGCCTCTGATCTATCACCTGGGTAACATTCACTGACTCTTAAGTCTCCCCGACCATAGCCGCGAACACTCTCCCGACCAGCAAGAAAACCTGCTTTATAGGATGCCTGCCTACCTCTACTCTGCGTAACCCCTCCTTACACCTCCACGGTGACTACATCTGCCATATTCACTCGATGTCGGCCTCCCAGCTCGACGTCGATAGCTCGTCCTCCCGGCGGCAACCTCTTGACAGCCAGAAAAATGCTGGCGCCGACATGTCCATGATGGCCTTTGTCCAGCCCGGCTGCCCGTCTAGGTTCGCCTACCAGAATGAGCATCGTATCAAAGGGCTCAACGTGGAAACCCTAGCGAGGGTCTTCCTTCCGACTCCCTCATGGCTGTCGACTCCAGAGTACGCAGCAATCCGGTCAGATACTGACAGTCCATCGACCTGCATCTTCCTCAGCCTTAATATTTCCATATACAACCAACAGATAATCCCCTCGGAATGGACCGAGCAATGGTTCTTCATGGTCGGCCGTGTTCATCCCTTTGCCCTGACGTGGGAAATCGAGCGACGTGATGGCTTGGAGTCGGAGGATGACAACATCACAGAATACACCGTCCCCGCGCTTATCGTCCGCGATCACAGCTGCCAACCGTAAGTCTATGCTCCAAACCTCTCCGTCCCCACTACCCTCCCTGACGATATCCGCAGAGTCTTCCTCGCACCTCAACTCGGCGGATGCTTTCCCAACGATACAACCCATTGTCACCTTCACGGGACCTGTCATCGGCTCCGGCCGCGACCTCCTGCATGGAAACTCGGCTGCGGCCCTTGACGACAGCCAGCTGAGGTGCTGCGGCTTTGTCCAACTCTCCACCTATATTTGTCCTGGGATTCCCGGCAAAACACCCTTCAAGGGCTTTCACCCCTTCCAAGTTTTCGTCATCTTCCCCATTCATGCCAATCCTTGGACCTCTCTATGCAAGAAGATGACCGAGAGGGGCGACAGCCAATTCCAGCCGAACGCTCTCTTCACCTGTACGGGCAAAATCGCCGGCTTACTGGATCACCAGATCATGACACATGCCCCGGCTTTCGACCAAGACTATATCTTCATCGTCGTCCCCGATACGTGGACTTTCCTCGACAGGGCCATGTCCAACCAGGCTTCTGCGACACAACTACTGCCGACGACACCCAAGGGCACGGTCGGCAATCCCTCGGACTATAGCGATGCGTTGGCAAGGTTTACCTCTACCAAAAAACGCAAGGCCGCCCAAAGCCCCGCCTCCCCCACGCCACCTGCATCTAGCCCAGTCCATCCCCATATACTCACATCAAGTCGGTCATTGCCCGATCCCTATCAAACCCCAACCAAAAGACCGCGACTTTCTCCCGAAACTTCCACCATAATCACCGCCTGTGACGATCAAGACTCCCCAATCCGACACTTCCTCCTTTCCGTCCCCGGAAGACCCCGCAGGGTCAGAGATGGACACCGAACCGGTCAATCGCCCGGGCACATCCGTCTCTGGCTCTATCAGACCTCCCACGTCGATCTCTTCCCGACCGCTCCGCGCCCGACGTCCGCCCAAGAATATTCTCTAAAGCAACGAACGAAACAATACAACATGACAAGGAACATGCTTCATCATCCTCAAATCTCAAGTGCGAAGGGCTCCAATAGGACACTCCCTTCTCCTCTTGCTCTCCTTTTCACAAAGACAATCAAGTCAAAACTTCCCAATATACTCCTTATTCCGTTTATATCTACGACTTATAGCACCTGTAAATCTTCCGAGCCTTCCACTCGCCAAGACATGCATTACCCACCCACATCTCTCTTCAACCCTGCCGTCTCTCCACGCCCTTTGCGGCGTGCGGCTTTGCAAACCAAAATCTCCCTCCAGCGGCCTAGCCTGCCTCCCCGACGCTCTATCTCGACTTCACTCACGATAACGCTCTACGTCTCTCGCCGTATCTCGTATCTCGACCTCACTCTTCTTCCTGTCTTCCTCTCACTTCTCCCGTCTCCTATCTCCTGTCGCCAACCCTCTCCTGTCGCCAACTCTCTCTCTCTCCTGTGGCCAACTCTTCTCCTGTGGCCAACTCTTCTCCTGTGGCCAACTCTTCTCCGGTTCTCCTGTCGCCAACTTCGTTCCGAAAGGCGTCTTTGCGCGAGCCGCGGCTGGCGAGCCTTCCTCTCGTGAGGAACGAAAGGCCTTCTGACGCGCCGCTGACCCCGCCCTCCTTCGCCCTGGGTTTTTGACCGCCTCTTGTGATTGGTCGGCTGGGATTCCCAAAATCCCTCCTCATTGGTCCCGCTCCTCTTCCCACCCCTGTTCCTCCCCGGTTCTTCCTGTTCCCCCACGTTTCCCCTCTGCCAATGCCAATGCCAACTTTCGTTCCTCAAGGCTTCTTTGCGCGAGCCGCGGCTGGCGAGCCTTCCTCGTGACAATCTTACTGGTTAATTCAATCAATCCGTCAATATCGATTGATCAGGATTGACTGGATCGAAAACCACACTGCCCCCT